CCCGCGCGTTCGCGCTACCCCATCCATTTTCTTTCCTCGGATGGGCTCCGCTGTACAGAGGTCCAACTGTGGGGTCGCAGCGAGCTGGCAAGCATTGCAACACAGCATACGGCCCTAAAGTAACTTTACCGCGATAGCCACAAAGTTCGTGTGCCCCCACTCTCTCGCTGGCCCGCTAAAACCCGACTCACCTGCCTCTGCCCTACCAGCAATCCGGACAGAAGCCTTTTTTTCTATCTCTTTCTTTCTTTGTTTCTTTCGCCAGGCCTGTGGTGGGGNNNTCTGTTCTGTTCTCCGGGGTCCAGGGAGCTGTTGAGGCTCCCCGTGCCGAATGGCGCGCCCGTTTAGGGGCCTTGTGGGGGCTCGGTAAACTCTCGAGCGAAATTCATTGATGCCATGGCTTACCCCGAGTTGGGTCGCGAGCCGCCGTAAGTATGAACGCGCTGGAGAGACTCCTGGCAATGAGTCGGCAGAACAGGCGTCGAAGGCCCTGGCTCGGCTTTTCACTCTGGGCGCCCCACTTCTGAAGCAACGCATCTACCAAGAGGAGCAAGGGTAAGCCCCAGGGGATAAAACTGGCAATGGGGCAATGGCTGCACTCGAACAAATCACGGAGCCACGAGCTGTCAATGCCTAAGAAGAAGGGCCAGCAGAGGTAGAGGTCTCCAATCCAGCCTTCGAGCTCGCACGATCCTCGCACACAGCAAAGCCCAAGCCAGTCCGAGTGGCGGCAGGCGCACGGTCACCTGACCGACCTGGCTCCAGCCGAAAAGCCACGAAGTGCCACGAAAATCTGTCAGCATTTCCTGAGCTCCTTGCTGCGAAGAAGTCCTCCTTCTCAGGTTGGCTCTCGATGTCTCCGCTTGGCCTCAAGGCTACTTCGATGAGAAGCTCTGCCGGGTGGTGTGGGCAAACTCGAGGCATTTGCGATGATCGGCGCAGCGCCATCACTGCCCTGCAAAAGTCGGGCGCAATTCTTCATGCCGCATGGCTTTCGGTGAAGGACCCGCAGTATTAGATGAGCCTCAGGGCCTGCACTCTGACTGAGTGTACACACACAGTACACACACGAACACCGAGATACATGTACATATGGTTGCGCCTCGGCGAGGCCCCCCCTTCCCCTCCCCCGCTCAATGGTAATTATCCGATCATCCCCCCTCCCCCCTGTGGAACG